CTAAACCGTGAGCGAGCACCGAAGATGAGCCGCAATCTCATTTTTTTGGGGTGGATTTCAGAGACAAACTGGGTCAATTTACACATCTGAGCTGAAGTTTCTACCTCTTTGAATCCAAAAACGATTAGGAAGGGGAAGGTCTCGGCCGGGCGTTTTTGTTTAAATTAAGGCTGATGTCTTCTAGAAATTGCCGATATCAAAAGCAGATATCAAATATCTGAGAGTCAGATATTAAAACAGACGTCAGAATTAGCCGAACAAAGAGCCGAAAACCCCAGGAATAGCTATTTAAAACGGAAAAGGCATTCATTTTTCTATAAATTTCTAGCGAAATTGATAGAAGATGATAAAAAAAATGACTTAATCTGACCAAAACCAGACTTTTAATAAATACATGAGTGTGTTAATGTGTTATTAATGTCTTGAACATTTCCTAGACATGTGGAATAAACATCTAATAAAACCCTGATTGGACCAATTTATGCAACCACAACAAACTAAAGGGTTCCCATCTTTCCTAAAGCAGTGATATAGGGAAATCTGTGCCTGGTTTTTGATCTTAAAACCAATCTTAAAGCTTAAAGCAGGAGGAATCTTTACCTTCTGGTCAAAATTCTCCGGTGTGAGAAAGAAGTTGTAGAGAGGCACGAAGTATCCCTCCAGCAGCCCCATCAGCAGCACTAGGTACACGCCGTCTGCAAACTGAAAGAGCCAGTCATGATCACCCAGGCCGAAAAGTGCCGAGTCAGCAAGCGCTTTTCAGACTCAGTGGCCTTTGAAAGGTTCGAAGTAAGGGGGGGTTACCTGTGTGTCCAGTTCAGACACCTCCAGGTTGAGCTTGTTGAGGTGTTTGTTCACAAATGTGATCAGAGTCTGGAAAAAAACAGCAGAGAGGTGTCAGGAGGAAGAAAAATATCTGCAAAAAAATGGACACAAATCCTCCGCCGGGGTAAATGTGTCTCCCAGGTATTACAGTTTTCATTTTATTTATCTTTAATCTGAAGGCAGCATCCCTTTTCACACAGGTTAACTACAAAACAGTGGGGGGAAAAAGGTAAAACATGTAATAAACGATGAACCAGAGCCTTTCAGATTGGTTTAACCATCGAAAAGTCGTGAAAACACTTGAGATAATCTGGAGAAAACTCAAACTTTCCACTTTGGAAATCACTTAAGGGATTCTGAAACTCCATCCCCTGGTTTTAGGAATCCAAATCTGACATCACCTGGACCTGTCACACACCTGGTGCCATCTTAAAAACTTCTTTTTGTCATCTTAATGGACGAGTGCGAAGAAGACTTCCTGCTATTCAGAGCAGCTAAGATCAGGTAAAAATATGGAAACGTTTTCGCTTTCGATTTGGACCCCTGAGCTCCCAAAACCTGGATGAAACCCCCCTGTCCCAACTCGGCTGCGTTGTTGTTTGGTCCCAGAAACGAGGCGTGAGGGCAGGTTCATGGCTCCTACTGGGGTAAAAGTCTTTTGGATTTTTTTGTCGTACCTTCTTGACGACGTTGAGCTTGTCTGGAGCGTGGTCAAACAGGGTGTCGAAAGCGTCCCGCTCTGTGGAAAACACACACAGTGGAACAAAAACACACACTTTAATTGAAATAATTAAAAAAAGAAATAAAAAAAAAGAAATAATAACAGAAAAATGTGTTTTTTTAACCCCCAGTGGGGTAAATTCAAAAAGTGAAGTAGCTCAAAATGAGATTATGTTGAATAATTTAAAAGTAGCACAAATAAATAAAATAAGCAAATAAGTAAATAGAAGCTAATAAATAAATCAGGATAAAAGAAAAAGGCCTGTTGGAAGAAG